TCGGAGATGACATGCCTATGTGATTCACCGAGACGGCGACAAGCTCGATAAATGTCGACGGTGCCATTCCATAGGATGTATCTCTGATAGTTGTTGGTGTTAAAATGCAGCTAGTGGATTATTATTATTATAGGGTTTCTTAGTCTTCAGAGGCATTCAAACTTAGTCCTCAGAGGTGACAACGCATCTAGAGCCTTCTTTGTTTGAAGTTGGTTGCAGATGTTCATGAACTGCAATAGATGGACTGTAAGTCTATTTGGCCTTTAAATTTAAATAAAAAGGAACTTATTTTGCACAACAGCTTGAACACAACATTGTGAATTATTTTTAGTGTAGTACAGTTAAAGAAATAATGCTAGCTCAGGGTCTATGTGCTCATTTTATCTAAATAATTCCTAAAGCTTAATTGCTACAGTATTCGCTATAACTCTAATCTGAAATGTTTAGTAAGACCTATTTTTCAGTTTCCCATTTTTATATGCAATTTTTGTTTCAAATAATAGTTGGTATAACGAATAACTAGTATAAAGGAAAGTTAAAGATTAGAAAGAAATGATAAATGTACTTAGTATATCTTCTGGCACTATATTGAACCCGCAATCTGTGGCATCTGATTGTAGGCGGCTAAACCTGGTTTATAAGCTTTAAAAAAACATAATACGAATAGCCAGATAGATAAAAACTGTCCATCAGCTGGATGATTAGATTCTACTTTTAAATATAGTGCCGATTCTAGTGAGTCGCATCCAAAAATGTCTATTATAATCGCAATAAAAAACTTGAAACACGAAAACTAATAAAAGGCAAAACTGAAAATAGTGTGCACATACTCGTAGTTGGACGTGCGTACATTATTTTGTAAGTTGTATTGGTGAAACATAAAGCGCGAGCTTCATAAAAAACTTGGGCTATTTATATGGAATTATGATTACATATAGTGGTTGAAAATAAGGCATAATGGTGAAGTTAATTTACTTGGGCAACTTGGAGGCACGTTTTTTTCTATTTATTATATTTATCTCGTACGGAAGTCCTTCAAAGTTATGGCCACCGACTTGTTTTAGCGTTAAAAAGTGTTTACTCGTTACGATCTTGATAATTATTTTGTATTATATTTGTACATTGTTATAGGCCATTGACTTTTTGGTGTTTTTCTTTCGACAAATTACCATAAGTTTTTTGAAATAACATCTAATCGTTTGAACTTTCTTCCAACCAAAATGTATACTACATTTTATAGAAAAAAAAGTGCGCGCGTAATCATGCACCATAGAACGAAAACTGATAAGGAATGAAAATCCTAATGCGAATGTGTGAAATTTTTAATTTTATCTTTTTTTTTTTTCTTTTTCTGCCCGTAAAGCCTACTGCTAGACATGGGCCGCTTCATTTGTAAAAAGAATTCGCCTTAACATCACAATTGGCAGCGGGATTGTCGATCGTAGTACCTAACGTCTCATAAAAGGTGTGCGCAACGTGTAGACAACAAAATGTAGACGTGCATTATTTAATCGTTTTTCAAATCAAAGTAACGATGTCAAATTTGAATTATTATAAATTACAATTCAAACTTTTTAGAGGCAATATGTTTCGAAATCATTTGAGACAAGCCAAGTGTGAACGTCGCCAAACTGGTTTATTGGTCTAATCAGTAATGTTCTTTGTGATTGGTCTGCTACCCGTTGGCAACTGGTATTATTGCTCAGGTGTGGAGCGCATATTAAACGCCTTCGACATTATCTTAAAAAAAAAAACAATAAAATGTTTCTTATTTAATAAAATCCTTGCCTTTTCTGAAATTCTCGAATTTATTCTTAAATAATATGTTTACAAGTACATAATATAAGAATTAAAATAACATTACTTATTTTAGAAATTAAAGTATTTTTTTATCTGTGCCTACATTAATTTATAAAGTTTGAAGACAAATGTTTACGCAAATACTATACTTTTAATGAAACTATTTACCTATTGTATTTATTTTAACCGAGTAGTGACTCGCCCCTCGGTGTAGTAAGAGACGACAGAAAGAAAATTAAATAGGAGATGAACCGCAGCATCTCACTAATAATAACTCATATTAATAACTGCGGTTGCCAACCCGCCTGCCAAGCGTGGCCACAATGGAAAATATTTCTCCTATGAAACATCTACGGGAGAGACCTATGTTCCACATAAGACTTTGATATATTTTTAAGTTATTTTGAAGTCAGGACATCTCGAGTTTATTACTATTGAAACCATAGGTGTTATAAAATATTGGAACTTAGAGAGATCGAAATAAGTTAAAATTAATCGTTGTAAAATGTTATAGTTATATTAAAATTCTCAAGATAACTTTGAATATTTAAACTACTACATTTCTGTGTTTACAAAATAACCTCTAATGGATTATGCTGTCTTTACCACAGAGTATCTAAAGACAGAATTCTAATGTTATTATTATTAGATGAGAAAGCGTTATTTACAAGCATGCTTCGTTGTAATGGTGTAAATACACACATTAACTAATTTAAGTGGCAGATAATATGAATAAATTGGACGTATATTTTAGTAAAAACTTGGTAGCAAAATTAATTAACATATGTGTAAAAAGAAAGAATAATCGTAATATCATATGTATCGAAATATGTAATTTAAAAATATCTCATAATTATAATATAGATAAAGATCTCAAGAATTAATTTGTTTCACTGCTTATTAATTCAACCGAAACTTTGAATATAGGCGCAGTTGTACACATGGTCAGATTCACTTAAAGGCAAAACAGACAACTGCCTATGAGCTCCGTGGTCTAAGACATAAAGCATTTTTTCATACAAAGTTGAACAAAGAGAGAGAATCCCGACATTCGTATTGCCTTTGGAACTCTACATGGCTAAATCCGGCCCTGGGTGCTTATCAAACAATCTAGAAATATGTGTCTAAATTGTAGGGTTGATGAGATTTTGTAATAAATAGAAATGACAAAGGAGCTCATAATCCTTTAAAGTAAGAGTATACTGTTGCCCATAGATACATATATTTATTCTCATATAAGTATCAAAGTTTAAGGTTGAGTATCAAGAAGATGTAAATAAACTTGAATATACTGTTGATTACCAACTCACCTGCCAAGCTTGGCATCTATGGAAAACATCCACTTATGAGGCAATATATGGGGAGGCCGTTGATAGGCTATGATAGATAGATAGAAGTATCAAAATTCAGATCCATTATTACCCCTGATGACTAAAATGGAAGTCGCTTTATCACTTATTCGTGTTAATTTAATTTTATATAGATAGTTATTTTTTTATTTACAATATGACGTAGGTACATAAAACAGAACCGATACAAACAATAGCACATATATTTTTTAAAATATGACATATCAGTACATATAAATAAACCAATATTATTTATATGTATATATTTGCTTAGTATAATATTTTTATTTATTTTGATATTGATTATGGTGTCATTATGACTGTGTAATTATGACTGCAGCATGAATGAATCAGCTCTACTCTTACGTTCGCATAGAATACCACTTTGAAATAGCCATTGAGATAATATGTTACTACGTAATAGTAACATATTATCTCAATGGAAATAGCATCGTAATTCTGCTATGTTTCGTATGATGAGTGACGATTACCGGGTACCGTTTTTTTATTGGCAACGAGGTATTTTATCTTCATACTCAGGGACAAAAACGCATCTGGGTATCTATGGGTCACAGTATTCATTTAACATCACCTAGACTTTGTGCTTGTTCGTCACCCTTATTTCTAATTAAAAAACAGTTAAATCGCAACATGATGATCATGTTAACAGTCTGTTGCTGGCGTTGTTATCTCCCAAATTAGGAAGTTCCACATCTTAGTAAGTCTCGCATTGGTATTTTTTAGGCCCGACTACTTTCATAATGATAGTAACAACACAAATATTTTGATAGAAAGACAGAGGGTATCAAAGAAATCTTTTGCATTATTTTGTACCGAGAATCCTTTATCGAATGTTATTTATAGATATCGACAAATAATCTTCACAGTAAAACTACAATATATCTCTTTCATTTATAATACAACGTATATTAGCTATCTCGCTCTTCTTAATTTCAGATAAGTTATCAATATTTATACCAACACGGTTCAAGCAGTAAATAGGATCTGGCCATCATGGCTATTAATAACATCCAACAAACATTTCCAGTGTAACTTTAAATTAAACTTAAAAAAACTCTGACAAATGTTATAATTCTGTTGAATAAAAAAATCTTTTAATACATAATTTCTCTTATTTAAGTGACATACGAGTATAAGTAAGTACCTTTTCATAATTTTAATATCTACTTAGTCCGCGTAAAATATAAACAACTAAATGTATCCTTATTTACAACTAACTAGATTGCATTTTCCTACGTCAGTAATAAAACTGTCAGTTGAAAAATAACTCTATCAGCTTTGTTTATTTGTTACTAATGGAATATAACGTAGAGCTTCGTCATGGGTGCGATATATTATTTACAAAAACGTTATTTTCCTTTGGCTTTTGTATGGAAATAATTACATACACAAAATATGTTTAAGCTTTAAAGATGATGATGATACCATGTACATATATTTTACTACTTAAATATATACAAATAAAGTTTAGACTCTCAGAAAATTTTGTATTTAGCTCCCGTGCTGTGCGCACGCATGATGTCCCGATGTCAAAATCCACATTTATTTACATTAAATAAAGTCATTACCAACATTGTCACATAGTAAATGATGCGTCTTGAATATTTACAATACTAAAGACGCTTTAAGTGTCCCCATGTGGTTTGTATTATGAAAAACTGTTCACGTTTTATGCAAATACTGGCAGCTCCGAGCGAAAACTAGAAAGTTTACTCACACATGCGCAACGCACCCACACATACATCTCTCATTCCAGTGTTGGTACTGGCTACATTTTAAAAATTATAAATAACACTCGTTCAAAAAAATCAACAAAAATTAAATCCTTACCGTTTCTGATTCCTCAATAAGACCGGACTCCCACAACATTTTTTTGAAGTGCAAACAGTTCCAAGAGACACTTTAAAAATAAAACTTTTAATTATTAATGAAATATATTTGTGTAAACAAATATGTCCATTTCCGCGAGTTATTTATTCAAAAAGAAATTTCGCATCCCGTGAAATTTTTGTTTCATTAATTGGCAATGATTGCTGTGGTCGGACGCGACTGCTGCCGTGGCGATATCTAATAGCTGTGAACGCGGGCGCAGGTCCCCGAACGTTGACGAAGCCGTCCGAACATTTACGAAGTCAGCCGACCGAACCGACCTACTTTGCTCTACTTCGAAATGCTCGCAGTGGCCGAGCGTTTTTTCCACCATTTTCCTATGAAACGCTACCTGTCTTAGCAAACAGGCGTGACAAAAACAATCAGTTTTCTTAGCCCCGAATGACTTACATCTTCTTTTTCTAAATTTGCGTTCATTTTTATAATACAAATAGTTTAAATAGAATTTTTATAACTTTATGTATATTTTATAATTAATTATTATTAAAAAAACCGTGCTTTGTGGCATTCCTTAGAGGATGCCTATGTTCAACAGTGGACTTGTAAGGACTGTAATGATGATGATGCGATAGTGAACTTAAAAAGTGTAGAACATTTATCACACCTGTTATCATCAGACATCACAACATCGCACCAGCAAGCATTAATTCGATTGTTAGATTTGTAGCTAGCAAGCATTTGAAAGATTTGACTTAACTCACAACGCTGGGCAGGAGAGTTTGTGTGCACAGGATCGATAGCTAGATAGAAGAAATTTGGTTTCAGAATTTTTTTATGGATTTTTCGTTATAAAACTGGTAAAACTGGTAGTAGCTTAGGGGCCAAGCGCTCGCTATAAATTCCACAGTACACAAGCAACCCGGGTTCGATCCCCGCCGTCACCAATAATATTGTTAATTGCAATTTCTCATTTACCACGTACTCGGCGGTGAAGGAAAACATCATGAGAAAACGTGCATGTTTGAGAAATAAGAAAACATAATGATTTTTTGAAAGACATGTGAAGTTCGCCGACATGCATTGGGGCAGCGCGGCGGACATTTCCTTGCCCTAAAGCCTCTCAGAAATGAGAAGAGGCCTGTGCCCAGCAGTGGAATGTATATAGGCCCGGTTGTGTAAAAAATATGTCCTTGAAATTTTTTATATACAACGGAGCACTAAAAATCACTCAAAATTGCAACTAACAGTTGCATTTTTGCCAGCGTGTATCAAACTTGCTTGCTTGTGTACTATGACATTTACGGCGAGCGCACAGCTTCGAAGCTCAGAAGAGCTACCACATAACATATATTTATAAACCGATGATCAGTGAATAATTAATATAATTAATTAATGAATTAAATATCGGTTCTTTGAGCTATATGACCTTCGATCTTCGTTGTAATGTTAATAGTCAATTAATATTTAGAAAACTAAATTAATTTATGTTTATTTAAAAATATAGGACACTTTTCTACTTTGATACCCTTTCAGGATTAGGAAGTGACCCTCACATTATCTCTGCGTTAAACAGCATGTAGCACACAAGCTGTTTAATCTCTTCACAACTCATTACTAAAAGGACCAATTACAGTATCTATCCATAATGATTTCTTTGATCCTCTCTCAATTTTACTCTCTCGATTCCTATGTACTCTTTCTCCTTCTGTAAAAATCCTATGTTGTTATGTAAGCAGAAGCCTTTTTACTATCTTCATTAACAGCTGCATTTAAACAAAACAATGGATTCCAGTTGCATTATATTAACGTTTTTGTTATGATAATAATAATCTTTATTTTCCATATATATATCAGTTAACAATATGTCTATTTATAAACTACGAAGAAATATTTAATCTTATAACATGAAAAATAGCATCCATTGCCGAACTAGGCCAGAATCTGTATTTCAGCAAATGGTGCCACTCCCCAGACTTAATAGACATAAATTATTTATTTAAATTATAGAAAATTTACAAAACTTGGTTCTTTACATTACAGATGTTGACACCAATGTCCATCATCCTTGTTATTCTGAATGACCTATGACGTTCGATAGATAATGGTATCTAATTGATACGAGTAGAAACTATAAAAGCTATTATTTTCTTTCAGTTCCCATTTATTTCGGATTAGTTATATACCTTGGTATGTATGCACCACCAATAGGTACCCTGTTTCCCATAGATATCTACATCTATTCTCGATAAGAATCAAAATGTAGATGCATTGTCACCCCTGAGGATTAAGATGGAATGCTTCGTTGCCAACAATTAGTCTCCGGTTTTCTACATTCACCATACGAAACACTGCAGTATTAAGCTGCTACTTTACGCTGCTATTTTGTATGAGCGTGTTCCTTTCGCAGTCGAGCCAAGCCATCCATGCTACAACCATATTATGCTACAACCATATTAATATAATATGGTTGTAGCATGGCACCATATTAATAAAATATGATTGTAGCATGTCTCTATCATGTACGACATATATAATCATTTCGAAAAACTTATTACTTATGTTTTTTTAAATTCTTTTGAAAGTATTTACATTATGGCTGGATTCTCTATATTTTTATTTGTTGTTGCCAATGGTATCTTCTTGAAATATCAACAACTAGCTAATTTCGTCTGCGTAACATAGAGAGAGAAAGAGAGAAAGGGTAAGAGATAGTGGATCGTAGGCACCTATAATACAATTCTAAAGAAGTTGAAGCTTTCTTTGTTTTATCCACGAACCACTTAAGAAATATTGAACAAAATTTGATAAAATTTGTTAGCTACAGTGCTAATTTATAATCACAAAACCAGGAGAAACATTGTTTGTATTTTTGTAATGGGTAATATTTATTGGCTAATTTGAGAATTGATTTAGATTTTTTTAAACCAACATTCAAAAAAATCAAATTAAAAAAGGTAACCACGATTTATACCAGTCACAATTGCACTACTTTACTTAAGTAACGAACTTTAATAAAAAAAAGCACAGCCTGTCATTAAAATGGCTCTCTGTACCCGGTATACCGGAAAACAGCAATGCAAACAGATAATTGGTGGCGGAAAAAGGTAAGAGTGAGGTATAGACGAACTCCTAGGCAGTACGTGGTAGTGCCGTGCTGCAGCTATATTAGGTATAGTTGTAGCACGAATGGGTCGGCTCGACCGGGGAAGGACCACGCTCTCACAGAATACCAGCGTAAAATAGCTGCTTAACACTGCTGTGTTTCGTATGGTGAGTGTAGAGAACCGGAGACTATTTTTACTGGAAAAGAGGCATTCTATCTTAGTCCTCACGTATGACGACGCATCTGCATTTTGATTCTTTATGGAAGATAAATGTAGATGTCTATGGGTCACAACAACCACTTACCATCAGGTGGACTGCGTGCTCGTTTGTCATCCTATCCTATAAAAAAATATAAAAAAAGACAGGAAAAGGAGTCGTTAAGGGGGGAAGACCTACCACCTAGTAGACTGTTACTAAACCATTCATCACTCACATTTATTTGAAAGGGCCATCGCTATATCATATAGTATGTATTATTAACTAAACATTTCTGTTTACAGCATAAAATTAAACGAATTTTCTACCTGATGGTAAGTAAATGCTTTGGCTCATATATTCTTAAAATTATCAAGATGTAAATAAAGCTTATGAATCAAGATGTCTTGATTCATAATATTCATTTACATCTTGATATGATTAAGAATCAAGATTTCTTGTCATCCTGATGTTTCTCTTTGAATTAAATGCATCGATTGCAGTAAAAATTTTCTCCATTTTTCGTCACTTTTTGTGTTCTATTAAATACTGGTTCCTTTCCATTCGAGATCAATTAGTGCAAACTGAGGTATTAGATCCTTGCTTATGAAATTGATGTTTTATATGGAAAATGCAAAACGAAAAAAGTTATGAAATTATATATTTAATCAATCAAAATATTTACCATTGTTCGCAAATTTATAGGTACTCGTAGTTCATTGATACCATTGCAAAAAAAATTGTGGGAGCTAGAATCAATAAAATATTTGATGGCAGTTTTGACTGCCTCATTGGAATCGAGGTTTTCTCGAATTAAAATAAAAGTCCCACTCCACTTTAATCTATTGGAGCAAGGCCAGGGAGTATGGCGGATATCAGAGATTACAATCGCAGCTCCTCTAATTTATCGACCGTCTGCCGTGAAATGTGTGGGTAACGCTAGATCCTAAAGCAGCAGGGGGCTAGAGCAATTTTTTTATAGGATAGAGTGACAAACGACCACACAGTCCACCTGATCGTAAGTGGTTGCTGTGGCCCATAGATATCTACATCTATCCTCGTTTGAGAATCAAAATACAGATGCGTTGTCACCCGTGAGGACTAAGATGGAATGCCCCTTTTCCAGTAAAAAGGGTCTCCGGTTCTCTACACTCACTATACGAAACACAGCAGTGTTAAGTTACTATTTTACGCTAGTATTCTCTGAGAGTGTAGTCCTTCCCCGGTCGAGCCGACCCATTCGTTTTACAACTAATATAGCGGTAGCATGGCTCTACCATGTACCAGAAGCAATTGACTAGTCTCGGTTGTTTAACGGCTAGCTTTTCCATTATGGTTTCCGTTTGTTGACAAAACAGATCTGCCGTCATCTTCTGGTCAGATTTTAGGAAGCTGTAATGGACGACACCAGCACTGGCGCACCAAACACTCACCAGTACTTTTTTAAAGTCAATTTTCGCTTGGGTCAGGATTCGGCCGGTTTTCTTGGATTCAACCATTATGATGAGCATTTCCGACTATCGTACAGGGTCCATTTTTCATCACAAGTGAAGATACGATTCAAAATCTCCTTGTTATTGTGACGGTTGAATAATTTCAACGCAGAACACGCGTTGATGTGTGTTGGTATGCTTCACTCAATTCACGCGGTACCCATTTTTCGAGTTTTCTCGTTTTTCTCATTTGTTTCAAGTGAACAAAAACTGTTTCATTTCACACGCCGAAGTCTGCTACGAACT